CCCGAGAAGGGCGTGCCCCTCTCCGACGAGTTCACGTTCGTCGACACGCTGTCGGTGACACCCGTCCAGAGGGACGCCAACAGCTGCGGGGTGTTCGTCGCGTTCTACGCGAACTACTTGTCCCTCGGCCTGCCGCTCAACTTCAGCCAGGCCGACATCCCCCACTTGCGCCAGCGCATGATGAGCGACATCCTCGACGGTAGTTTAGCTACGCCACGGTAGGTTAGCTGAGTAACGTAAGGGCGCCTAGTCAGTGCGTAGTCGCGCGAGGCCGCCGCGGAGAGGCCGCCTTCAAGGAGGCCTTCAAGGTACCCCAAGGAGCTGGCCGTGCCGCTTCCAAGTCTAAAAGCATGGCCGACGTGCCGCCGCTTTATGACGAGGTCTCCTACGAGTTCTACTACCAGGGCGAGTGGTTCGAGACCGCGCCGGCGTTCCCGGCCCTGTCCGCCGCCGAAGAAGCCGACGAACATCGATTGCTTCGCGAGCACTTCGAGGAGCACTACGATCGACTCGACACGCAGAACTGGCTGGACTTCGTCGGCGCGTCGACGCTCGACCGTCTGCTCAGGCAAGCGTTGCACTACAACTACGCGCGGGCCGTGTCGCTGCTCCTCGCCGCGGGCGCGGCGCACGCCTTCGTCGTGGGCTATCCGCCGCGCCTGCGCCACGCGCTCACGTACTGCCGGCGCGCGGACATCGCCGAGATGCTCCTCGACGCGGGCGCGGACATCGAGCTCCGGGACGGCGGCTACACCCCTCTGGAGGTCTGCCTCTTCCTCGACAGACCGGCCATTGCGCGCGTGCTCCTGAGCCGCGGCGCGGACGTCGACGCCGTCGACCTCGCGCGGCCGCGGTCGATGCCAATGCGGTGCTACCGGCTGCTCCGCGCCATGCGCGCGGCCGGCAGCTGGCGGGCGTACGTCGACCTGCCCCGCCAGGAGCTCCTCGGCTTCCGCCGGCGCCTCCTGGCCTTCCGCCGCCTCCTGTTCCGCCGCGCGTTCCCGCCGACCCCCTCCCTGCACGAGCGCCTCTTCTTCGAGGTGCCCGAGGATGTCTTCCGCCACGTCTTCACCTTCTGGCGCGGCCCCCGCGACCTCCGCTAGGGGGGCGACTCGTAAAGCTCCGCACCGCGTTCTGCCGCTCCGCGAGGAGCGCGCCGACGCCCGCGCAACGAAAGGGACGCGTGGCCCACGTGGACGGGGCGTACGTCCTGGCGTGCGCGTCGCGAGAATACAGATCTACACCGCCCCTCGCCGCGCCGAGGCGCGAAACGGTCCGCCGCGTCGCCGTTACGACGTCGTTCCGGGAAAAAGCGTATTTTCCCCACGATCCTCTCCGTAGGGGCTCTCTGGCGAGCCCGGTGTCGCGGCGCGAGAGGCCGTAGATTCGAACCAGCGATGTGGGACACAAATCGAGCGGAGCGCATCGTATGGCTGTCTCGCGACCTTCGGACAAAAGCTACGCCCTCCGGCCAGAAGATCTGGCCTGGCGCCTGCGGCGCAAAACCGCCGCGAAGCGGCGGCTCACGGCGCCGCAGGCCGATGGACTACAGGGTCGCCCGGCCTCGGCGGCTCGCCGCGCCCCGAGCGCGCCGCGCCCGCGCCCGCGCGCCGGCTCCTCGGCCCCCCGGCAGGGGCCGGGGAGGGGGTCCGGGGGAGGGGGCGCG